CTCTCTCTGAAAAGCAAGGGAAAAAATATCCTCAGGTGAGGGTTAAAAAAAACACGTAAATGAATGAAAACATTTTCGTGGGCTGTCCTGTGCCTCCCCCTTTGCTCCGTTCGCGGCGAGGCGCGGCTGTGATGGAACACACCTGGCCCCACAATCCCCGCGTCTTCCTGGCCACCTGGCGTCTGGCCGGGCGGGACCCTCTTCCGCCCTCCCCGCCTTCTGCCCGAAGCGTTTTGTCCGTTTCTAGGTAACGCCCCCCCCCTTCCTAGTTACAGTCTCTGCACAGAGCTGCTTCTCCTGGCCCCGAGGCCGCGGTGCTCCTGTGAGCTCCTCTGAGGTGTCTCCCTTTAAGCAGCCGACTTAGATTTTCTTGTTATTGTGGGTTTTTCTTTAACCCACTTTGGTAAGATGCTTCCCTTTCGCTCGGTCACTGACTCTCCGTACGGTCTTGCCGTCCCTTAGGTTTCGACCTGATACTTTCCCGTTGAGCCTTCAAGGTTCTTCAGACGACGTGAACACGGCCCATTTCCCGCATTTTCGGTTATTTTCAGCGTGGTGGTTGGCAGCTGGCCAGACCCACTGCCAAAGTGGGAGCCCAGCTGCTTCTCTGAAGCACCTTCAGCGAACCTCTGTTTCTGACCCTGCTTCACCCCACCTCACAGACGCCGCTCCTGGGCGGGCACCGGTGGCGGGACTGCCGGGGTCTCAGGGCTCAGGGGCCGCACCTGAGGCCGGGCCGGGCCCCTGTGGGCAGTTCCCACTCGTCCCCCCACTGCCCAGCTCCCGACTCCTAGAAACGGTTTCTCCTCCCACGTGCTTGTCCGGTCGCCCTCCAGATCCCTGAGCCGTCCACTGCTCTTTAGTGGGGACGCCGAGGGGTCAGAGGCCACCAGCCTGGAACCGCTGTCCTAGGCGGACGTTCAGAGCGTGTGCGGTTTAGCGCAGTCGCTTTCGACGGGTCCGTGTGTGTGTCAGGTTTCACCTCCCGGCGCTTGTCGTCCATGGGCCTCGACCGGGCTCCGTGCGGAGCACCTGGAACCGCCGGGCACCTGCGAGGCTCCGGGAGCCCTGGCACCCACAGGCTCGCGGGGCGTCGGGTTCTTCACGTGGAAGGGACCTCGTCGGCGTTTTACGAGATTCCTCAGAATTCTGCCTCTCAGGACTTTTAACACCCATTTGTTTCTCTGGCGCCTTTTAAAAAATTAATTACTGGCACTGACTTACGAATGGTGTATCTGGGAGACGTTATTGGGCTTTGAAAAATCTCTTTCAGTGACTTATCCTGAAGCAGCTGCTAAATCAAGGAACGAGAAACAGACTCGTCAGCGATTTCGGCGCCTGGCACAGCACATCCGCGGTCCGTGTGGCCCGGCGCCCGGCCTCCCAGCGCAACAAACGATGTAACGAATGTTCTGCATCCCCTAAGACTGCGTCTGAGCCCCGGCTGTGCCCGCGTTCCTGGGTCACGCGCTAGGACACGCACACGTCCTAAGTGTCGCTCCGGGTGAGTTTTGACAATTGCACGCACCTGGGTAACCCCCCGCAGCCCCCGAAACCAGACAGGGAGCCCCCACCCCCGCCGTCCCTGTCTCTGACCCAGACTCCGGGCCTGACTTCCGTCGCCCCGGTTCCTTCTGCCTGTATTTGGGTTTCGCGTGCACTCCTTTGGGTCTAATTTCCTTCGTTTATTTATTTTTTAAAATGTTTCTATTGACTTGAGAGAGAGAGGAAGGGAGAGGGGAGAGCGAAGGAGAAGCGTTGATGTGAGAGAGAAACGTGGATGGGCCGCCTCCTGCACGCCCCCGACTGGGGATCGAGCCCACAACCCGGGCGTGTGCCCTGACCGGGAATCGAACCCGCGGCCTCTCTGTTCACGGGCCCCCGAGCCACGCCGGCCGGGCGCTCCATCCGTGTCCTAGTGAGCGCGTGCAGCATCCCCTCCGGTTTGGCCCGCGTCTCCCCGATGACTGCGGACGGGCAGAGCTTCACCGCTCCCCGGCCGTGGGCCTGCCCTCCCCTTGCCTCGCTGGCGCTTAGGGACTCTCGCCGATATATCCGGGTACGAGCCCCGTGCCAGGCACAGGGGCTGCACACGCCCGTCGGGTCCGCGGCCCCTCTGCTCACCTCCCGAACGTCTCTGTACGAGGCCGACTGTTCCTTCTTTTGAAATCCGGTCCTTCAGGTTATTACCATCGTTTTCAACCTGCGGGCTCCTCTGGATTGCGTAACCGTTTCCTGCAGCGGACGCCCGCCCCCTGAGATGGAAGAAGGTGCTGGCCTGTTCCCCGAGGTGGAGCTCCTGGAGGGCGTCCCACAAGTGGACGATGGTAATTCGGGTCTCGTCACCCACCCCCCGGGGCCCGCGGCGGGCAGACAGGGCGCCTCGCGCCCCCTTCCCTTGTTGTTTGTCTGGTGCGTGTGTGTTTTCCGAGAGACCACGTCTCTTAAATGCGTGTTTTTTTCAAAGAGGGAGCTTAGGTTAGTCTGCCTTTAGCTGAAACAAAGCTGCCCTGTGTCTGAAGATCCCGAAAGGGGCCGACCATGGTTTTTAGTTTCCGGCGTCTTTATTGAGAAACCCGATGCCATTTTTATCCCAGTCCTTTGAGTGTGACCTAGTTCCAACCCCCCCCCCAACCCCTGGAGGCTTTTCGATTTTTTTTTTTTTCCTGATTGAAGTTTTTCTCAGATAAGCCCCTTCAGGGAGAACACGGGTTCCTGGTCACCGTCCACGGCCCGGCCGGCCCGGCCTGCCCGGCGCTGTGCCCACCCCTCCCCCGCGTCCTGCCCGTCGGGCTCCTGGGACGGTCGCCTGCCCCTCACCCGCCGCGTCCCCTCTCCTGCGCTCCCGTTTGCCCACCGATGCCTGTCTCTGTCCCGTCACTTCATGGGGATTTACGGGGGCGTGGACTGGGCCTGCACGTTTTGCCCGGAGCCTGCAGCGGTTCTCTAAGACGGGGATTCTCAAACTGCTCCTGTCAGAGAACCCCTGGCATGCTTGAAAGTGATGGAAGACAACCCGGGGGGCTCCTGCTGATGTCGGTTGTAACTCCCGATGTTTATTAAAAACTAAAGCTGACGATACCTTGTTTATTTATTCACTTAAAACAGCAGTAACAAACCTGTTTCTTTTACTGTGTAACAAAAAGAGTCTGGTTTAGCGGAGGACAGCCGGATTCGCATGCCCGCTGCCCGGCCGCGTCGCGTGGCCTCTGGGAACCCCACTGTACACCAGCGAAGAGTGGGTGGGACCGATGCGTCCTGTATGATTGTGAAAATGGTTCTGACTCTGCAGACGCCCCCCCAAAGAGGCTTGGGGAGCCCCCAGGGTTCCTTGGGCCACGCTTTGAGAACCGTTGCTCTGGGACGCCGTCCCCACCGTGTCCGGGTTTGGGCTTGTCGGGGTTTATTCCGGAGCTTCAGCCTTGACGCCTAGATCTGCTTCTTACCGTCTTAACTCTCGTCGCACTTTCTAGAAAGAGATGAGCTGGAGGACCCGGAGTTCGAGGTGGAGTCTCCCCATCAGGAAGCTGAGAGCCATGCTGGCTCGGGAGGCTGGTAACCGATGCGGGGGGCGGCCAGTGACCGATGCGGGGGGCGGCCGGTGACCGATGCAGGGGACAGCCAGTGACCGATGCGGGGGGCGGCCGGTGACCGATGCAGGGGGCAGCCAGTGACCGATGCGGGGGGCGGCCGGTGACCGATGTGGGGGGAGGCTGGTAACCGATGTGGGGGGCGGCCGGTGACCGATGCGGGGGGCAGCCGGCTCTCCTCCCTGAGCCTCAGGCCCTCGGCACGGGGCTGGCACGGGGTGAGTCCCGCGGGCGTGCTGGCCGCACAGGGCAGCCGGGTCCCGTCTGTGTTCAGTGCGGAGAAGCAGCAGAAGGCCGACGCTGAAAGAAGGAAGAAGGTGACCGTCCAGGACAGGATCCGGGCCTCTGAGCTGCGGAAGGACTTGAGCCGCCTGGATAAGCTGCACAGAGACAAAGATCTCTTCATTCAGAAAACAAGGTGAGCCGTGGTCAGGGTGAGGGTGCCCGCGGCTCAGCAGGAGCTCCGGGCCCGCTGTCCTTCAGGCCAGGGGCGGGGGCCTCCTCCGGCCTCCGGGCTGGGGCTGCCCTTGCCTGCCCTCTGGGGTCCCCCTGGGCCCAGCCTCCCTGCTGCCCCGGCCACCAGCCAGCTTGACCGGCAGTGACGCCCCCTGTGCGTTCCCCACACGTCTGTGGTGTAGGAACACCTCAAGCACACAGGGAAGTGGGAAACACGTCGCACAGCCGCCACCCGCGTGCCCCCGACACTGTCAGCTCTGGTCCCTGGTCTGTGTGTGTCCACACGTCACATCTGTGATGTTTTCTGCTAAGTTGTTTGAAGGCAAATTGCGGAGATCGCGGCACTTTCCTCCCAAATTCTTCAGTGTCTCCTAAAACACTGACCTTCCCCCGCACGACCTCAGTACGCACTTCGCCTGCGAAACCCACAACCCTCAGTGTCCTCGTACAGCAAGCCCCAGTGTCCCCCAGAGGCCTCCGGAGCCAGAGCTCTGTTGTTTTGATGGAGGTGACAGGCACGTCACAGGGCGACATCTAGAGCTGGGATTCAGCGAGGGCCCCGGGTCGGCTTGGCTGCCCCGTGGGTCCGTGGCCTGTGCCTCAGTGCCCCCAGCCTCCTGGGGCCCTTCCCACGCCCGCGCTCGTTGTCCGTGATGGTTCCCGTTACGCCCATTCGGGCACAGGGCACACAGGTGGCCTCCAGCAGAGTTTTCAGAAAACAGATGGACAAGCCCCTGCCCAGTGCTTGGCTTTCAGAGAGACCCCTGGAAAACGGGACATGCCGCGGCCCCCGGCCACGGTCCCGTCTGAGGACGGGGGGCCAGGCGGAGGTGCCCTAGCCCGAGACAGGGAGGTCGAGGGCCACGCTTCAGGCCATTTATCCGGATCCTGGCTTCACATCTCAGAGGGGAGCTGCGCGCTTGCCGCCAGCGGATGGACCTCATCACCAGGCAGCAGGAGGGTGTGGCGGCCGAGCTGGCTACAGAGAAAGAGGCCAACCACACGTAGGTCCTCTGCCCCGTGGAGGGCGGGGGGCGGGCGGGCGACCATGGGGGCGGAGAAGCCTCCCGCTAAGCGTGCGAGAGAGATGGACACAACCCAGAATGGACACCAAGCGTCAGGTGGTCACAGGACAGGAAGCCGGTGGCCAGGAGGCCAGGAGGGGTGGTCGCTTTGAAGCAGGTGGCCAGGGGAGGGCTCCCCGAGGAGGTGACCTCCAGGCTGGGACCCGCATGACAAAGACGAGTAGCTGTGCAGTGACTGGGGAAGAGCACTGTGGGCAGCGAGACTGTGGAGCCCCAGGAGCCACCCAGGGAGGGGGCCGGTGTCCCGGAGACGGTGCAGGGAGGGGGCCGGGGACGGCCCTCAGGACTGGCTCTGCCCAGCTTAGGAGGTCACATGGGGGTCTCAGGGGTCATACCCCTCCCGGTGCC